GAGAGAGTATATCCTATTTCCCTATGTCCTGATTTACTAATTCTTAAAACTAAATTCATATGGCTTGTGCTTTTAAATTTCCCCTGTCCTCTTTATCTGTCTCTCTCTTTTCCTCTTCTTGTCCTTGCGATCTTCCATAGTATACAAGCAAAAGAAAAGTATCTGCTAAGCCCTTCTCCGACAGGTACGCAAGGCCGTATGGTACAACGTATCCGTGCTGAAGTACAAAGCCAGAGTTTTCATTGTCGCTGCTGCACAATATGTTTGCCGTCCTTGAAAGTATTCCCCGATCATAGCTGCAGGACCAGCCTGCTACCTTCTGTCCTAAACCACCTCTCCGTAATGTTAAACCAGGTAAACTTTAGCTTGTCCTTTTTTCAAAGATATCTGAATCGGCTGGTATATAGCGCAAGGTGCTTGAAGACGTATCCGGGGAGGATTATTGTTGTAACTGAAAGGGAGGTTGTGGATAACAGATTTTTCTTTTTTTTTTTTTCAAAAAAAAAGAAAAATCTGTTCCAATATTTCAGTTACAAATATCCTCCCGGATAGTCTTAGCACCTTTCGTACAAGCACACATACTGAAAAAAAGCTTTTACCGGCATCGGGTAGGGACAATACAGGCTGTCCTGCAGCAGCTCGGGGATCAAGGACGGGCCATATGTGCAGCAGGTGGCTGAACTCTGGCTGTGACCTGCAGCTGTACCAGTGGCTGCGACTGTGGGGCTGGCAGGACTTTCTGGGCGTGAGGCTGCCTGCAGGGACAAAGAAAGAGGAAGAGGAGACAGAAAGAGGACAGGGGAAATTTAAAAGCACAGCCAATGATTTAGTTAAGGAAGTAATCAGGACATAGGAAATAGGAATGGGAAACCGCTATCGTGGGCAGTTTTTGTTTTCTAAAAAGAAACAGTCTAACTATCAAGTGGGCCACTGATCACAGCTGGACTAAGTTTTAACTGGGTCATTAGTGACCAACTGCCTGCTCATGGAAACTGTTGGATAAATAGAAATGTAGATAGTTAATACAAAATGTAACGAATGTGCTGGACAGACAGCAAAGCCTGTGCTGCCTCAGTTGCCAAGAGGTGACTCAGCATCTCTGTCATCAAACACCCTGAAACACTGAATAAAATCTCATTTACATTTCACACGTCTGTCTGATAACGCAGCCAACGAATGCAAGAATGTGTTGATAAATCTGGCACTGATAAACGTACTGCGGCCCACCTCTATATGGACTGTTGTGGGGTTTTGAATTGTGGCGATGTGTGTCTGAACTGTTCAGACTTCAGTGCTCATGCTCTGTGGGCCCAACTCAAAGGCATCAATGTTTTTGGTGTATGTGCTCAGTAAGTAACTGTTAAAATAATAAATAAATGGAGGTGCCATCTTACAAGACTGTAGCCAATTCTCTTAATATCCGGTCATTTTCACACGTGTAATGGGAGGAGCCTTGTTTTTGGTTGAATGCTGCACTGGGGACAAGACTGCACTACACATAAAGTGCTGAGAGAACCAATTCCCACACATTACTTTAAGAAAGATTTTATAAAACTATCAAGGATCTCTTTTAGGGTTAATGCAGTTGTTACAAAACCCGTTAGTAAGAGTACTGAAATATTAACGCCGCATTTATTTCCAAGTGTCAGAAATCAGTAGGGAAGTCTTCAAATTCAGGCAGTGATAAGAGTTTAAGAGCTTTGAGCTGTGACTTAAATAAGATAATCCGCAAAAGAGTACAAATGGGAAGGGATAAAGATTTGCGCTCCATAAAAGCACAAGAGTTGACTGAATTAGGCTGCGTGTCCCTTACCGGCTCTCAGGTTGGAGTTCTTCCACCCATTATAAAGGCTAAATGTTTGCTGGCAAGAAGCGTTTTGTTCATCATGTTCACAATGGCTTGAACATCCTGCTTAACCAAAATCCTTGAATTCTCCCATCTTCAGGCTGGGAAAGGAACACAGAACAAAAACACAGAATTTTAGGTCAGGAAATGACGAGAAAACATTTATAAAGCCAGCCATTACTTCTCCGTCAGGTGTGACTCAGATGGCCCCTGTGCACAATGGGTGTCACCACAGGCTGTCAGGACAGGTCCGCTGTGCAACTGCAATCAGCAACCCGACTAATAGTGCAACTCATCACTGTCACACCGCGGTGGCTCTCTAAAATGCTGCAAGGTATAGCAGGACTGTGTTTTGGATGGTGAGGGGATTTCAATTTGTGCATTCCTGAATTCATGTCACCACTTTCCCAGAACTGAAAAATCACACAATTTCAACCAGTGGGCTAAAACCCAACAGTTGTTGGACATGAAACTTCTTGCACATACACAACACAAAGTCATTCATAATCTACTTCTGCAGGTTTGCAGTGCTGGATGGACTTTTGACAAGAAATGTACAGATACCTCTGAAAACAGGGTTTGGACATTATGCCAGTATTTATTTTCTGGTTACATGAATTAACAAAATAAATAAAGTGAGTGAACTTTAACATTTATCTACCGTCTCTATTAGATTAGTTGACTAATATTGACACTGTCTGCATAGGGGTTACAGGGTTAAGAGCTTACAATGGGACTTGCTATACGGTAGACAAGTTGTCACATGATAGATATTTTTGACCATTTGGTCCAGATGTTAGGGATCAAAAGCACCGTCTCTGGGTGACAAAAATAAATAAAGATCTTCGGTAAAATAAGAAATAATTAGTCCGTAGTCCAGAAACAAACCTTGAGGAATGAAGGAGCTGGACTCCGGGTCAGAGAGATGATGGTCCTGCTTGAAGGAGGGGGGGACAGGAGCCACAGCACAGAATCCCCTCACCTCCAGATGCTAGACTTACATTAAGTCGGGACAGAAATAAGAAAGGGGGGATTAATACAGATTCAAAACAATATACAATGTTGTTGAGCGACAGAACAGAAGCCAGGATTGGTGATAATTCAGTATTATCGTATACGTCTGTTCTCCCAAGGATTCCTCACTGAAAAACTAAAGTAACTGAACAACAAATAAGTGATTTTACAGCTGCTTCGTCATCCAAGATGCACCAGTGGAAGAGCAGTACTCTCAGAATGCTACTGATCTAATCCCACACACTGTTGACATTACGAAGTGTAGAGACAACGTTAGTAACGCTTGCCACATTAAAGCCCTTTAATCTGATGCTACAGAACCTGAGCTCATGCTTCCAGGAGGGCTGAGGGTTGAGTCAGATGGCCCCTGTGCACATCGTGTGTCCGCAGGTTGGGTCGGATCGAGGTGCTGCTGCCACTGCAACATCAGCCCCGACTGATCAGTGCAACTCATCACTCTCACCCCCCCCCCCCCCCCCC